TAACTGTTTGCTCAGTCGTCTGTTCCTGGAAGTTTAGACTGTTTCCAATTTTTATCTTCTTTAAATAATACTGTGTTGAACATCTTTTTGCACAGATATTGTGAGACTCTGCACATATTTCCCTAATACACATTCCTAACGATTAATTTACTGAGTTAGAGTCAGCTATAATTTTCAAGTCCTGCATTTAGGATTATGTACTGATAGATTTTAGAAGAAGAGAGAAAGCTAATAGTGTCTGAGATAAAAACATGCTCAGGAGTAATCTTGCCCTCTTTAAATCTGAGACGAGCCCCCACCCAAGTTCTCGTAGTCTTGTCTTTACTGTAGCTTTCAGGGGTCTCCATGAACTATGTAACTGAATGTCTCTCTAAAAATATATCACGGTCCCCTGCTCCTGGTACTTTGCATAACCTGATTGAGCACAAGTACCATTTTTAATGGAACATTTTGCAATACAAAACTAAAGGATCTCATGTGTCCAATGACATGTGGATTGTCAACATATTTGTTAGAATGCTGAGGAAGAAACTAAAATATTTCCATTAAAATGCTCAAATCTAGGGACCAAAGGGCAACGAATATCACAGCGAAAATATGTAACTGAAAGACACAGTACATTCGTATTACGTGTAGATCCGCTGTGCTTATGACAAAAGGATTCACCCTTTCAAAACCCTTTGAGTGATTTTTCTTAATTCTTTCAGTTAGTGAGATTGGCTGACCGCCTCACTTCCTTTGAACCTAAAGGAAATTCGGTCTGGTGAAGTCTGATCTCTTTTCCAGCAGCTTTTTTGTTTTGTTACTCTTGCTGCCTAAAAGGCAGTGCTTGGTTGGCTTCTGTTTGGCTTCCCCTGGTAGCTCATCCAAGCTATCAGACATCTTCCCTGCTTCCATTTAGTCAGTAGGCCAAACATAAATCTTAATTTCAACTGGGTGTTTAAAGAAACTCTATTATGTATATATTCCTTTTGGGAAAAAGTAAGCAATTCTTAGAGGATATATAGAGTTCTGTGATGGCTCTAGAGATTTAAAAATACAATAATGTGTTCTATAATTTGCTTCATTCATCCTACTTAAAAAGACAGTATAGACTTTTGTTTATTGTGGTGTGTGTGTGTATGGGTATATGCGTGTTAATAAATAAATAAAGCTTTACTTGTTGTAGAAGATGCTCAAATAAGCAATAAATCCATCCATGATCCCATGAGCGGAAGAACATTCTGATTCTGTTTTGGTGTATTACCTTCTAGTCTTTGTTTCAAATGCCTGTGTATTTTTTTTTTTTTTTACTTTCCTCATAAAGTTTTACCTACAACTGTCAGACAATTTCGCTAGGAATAACATTTGCCATTTAGTTATATGAGAACATGTTCAGTAGCATCATTTATGGCCTTGATATTTAAAAGAAAGTGATGTGTCCTCCTCGTGTTAGTCGGTCAGATCCCAACTAGCAGGGAGTTTGCCATTTGTTTTCTCCAAAGGGACACCTTTTTCACAGGGGACTTCAGACACTCAGGCCCCAGCCTTTCTCACTTCTGTAGATGGCAGTTAGACTTACACTGTGAACACACCCATGAGAGTTTTCGGGGATCCCTTTGAAGTAGCATTTGCCCCCTTCTAGGCTCTATGAGCAGATGGTGCCATCCCATGGCCTCTTTCTTCTGTTTCTTCTCAGTATTCGGTTTCCTTTCCCCGAAGGGAGCAGCTGAGCCCATCAGGACAGGTGCTGTGTCTGCCCATATGTCTCAGGTGTAATATGTGACACGGTTTATACAATATACGCTTCCTGCTGCCCCTGGGAACACAGTGTGTACATTTGTCCTAAGGAAAACCATCAACCTGCCGTGACATGTGAGATCATGCTGATTTGTGTCGCCCATCCAGTATGGGAATGGCCTGCAGTCAACTCTTGCTAGACAAGAGCCACATCCTGTGATTTCTAGGTCTTGGAGAATTCTGCCAAACGGTTACCTGAGTGTTTCCATCAGGCCGTCTAGCTGTTTTCAATCCATATGAATAGTTGTGGCTAAAATAAATTATAAATTGTAAATCAGGAGCTTTATTCCAGCATTCATATTCATTAAACTTTAAGATTTAATGATTTTATGGACTTAAAACAAAAATTTTACTTCTTTTTTAAAAAGAAGTCAAGTAGCATCCTTTGATTATTTTTTTACTTTTTAAGTACTAATTTGTGGGCACTTTTGGTGTAAAAGGTGTGACTTTTTTAAAAGGTCAACTAACAAAGAGGAACAAATTAGTCTAAAAATTATAAGAAATGTTTCTTGTTCTGCACGAGTTTGTCGAGTCATTTGAGCTGTGACCTTTTGGAATGTTCCATGGACTGGAACTGGTTATCTCAGTGTGCTTCACACTGCTTGGTTTTGTACAGTTTATAGAAGGACCATTAATTACTTAATGTTTATTATTCAATTAATATTTTATTGCTTCAACAGGATGTGAATATGATGTTCTTAGAGAAGAATTCTAGATTAAAGCCGAAGTCCACATCAGCTAGTGCCTCCAATCCCAGCCCTTCCTTGTCCCACCAGAAATGCCCCAGTTATCAGTTCAGTGTGGGCAGTCGTGGGAGGCGAATGCTGGGCATATGTGTGAGTGTGTCTGATATCCATTTCCTCCTGTACCTGCCACTCTGCAGCATATGCTTTCGTTCAACCTTGTGTTTTGGAGACAGTCCACATTGTTACTCATGAACCTCTGCAGTCTGCTTTATAGGTTGGCTGTCCCACAGTTTAATCAGAACTTCTGGTCTTTTCTAGGCTTTGTTTATATGAACGATGCTACAGTGAGTGTCCTTGGGCATGCACCCACCTTATAATGCATGTGTGTTTCTCTATGATAAAGAATAAAAAACGCTCTTTCCAAATGGGCAAGTTAAGGTGGTCAGAGTTTTATAAATGGCGGAAGCCATTTTCCCTGACCCCTCCTACCTAGTTGGAGATGCTCCACAAATTTTTATAGAGGGTCATTGGGACTTGGGTGAAGTCAAGCTAGGGAAAGCTACAGAGAAACCGTGCTTATTCCAATTAACTAAGAAGGTCAATCTGGATTAGGGAAACATCTGAATTTTAGGGTATAATATACAATTTTTGAGTGTATTCAGTGACCCACACTAAATTAACGTGATGATATTCCTTAAGGGAATCACATGAATGAACACATTTTTTAAAGAATAATGACATATCTAAATTGGTCAACACAGTTATTCTCATCTGTAGGTAAAATATTTCCCTTACAATATTTTTTATATTTAAATATATGAGGCAAATGATTGTCCCCAGTTAGAGAAGATATTGTAACCTTTCTTTCAGAGTGGTGGTAACTTGGTAAGAAAAATGACAGAGGTTGACTTCTGAGGGCCTACTCTGTGCCAGGTGTTAGGCTTTTAAACACTTTGTCTATTTAATTATCATAACAATCTTGCAAGTCTTATTATTTCCATTTCATAAATGGAGAAATGGAGGCAGAGAGGGCCTTAGAACGAATGGTTGGAGTTTGCACACCTGAGTTTGTCTGACTTGAAAGAATAATGATCTTTCTCTGGTATTAGAATTCCCTTAAATGTGGTCCTCAGAATCTTGCATGAGAATCTCTTGAAGTACTTGTTCATACTGCAGATTCCTGGGCCTCTCAGGGTGGGGTACTGCCAGAAGAGTGTCCCACTGCCTTTGATGCTGAGTGCCCCCCACCATGCCTCACTAGCAGGGGGCACATTAGCCTTAGCCATGCTCCTCTCTTGGCTTCCTCCTCCTCCCCCTCTGCCATTGCCTTCTGTTACTTGCGCTGAGCTTAGTGCAGCTTGTGGTTTGACAAGTCTCTTCCAGAAGAATTGAAATCATCACACCACTTAGGGGTCATTTTCTAAAAAAAGGTTGATGTTTCCAGTGCAAAATCATCAGATCCCAAGTGTATCTTTTGTGCCTAATGCATATGGGGAGTGTGCATTTTGCATTCTAACCCTTGCCAAACCAGAAATAAATGGGGAAAAAAAATTAAGAAATGAGCAGGCAGCTTGCAGAAATGATTACTTTTGCAACACCATTATATGCTTTTATATTCCCTTCTAGCTTTCCTTTGCTATACTCCCCTGGTGGCAGATCTCCCATAAATCTGTCCCTAATGGCTGCTGACTTCCCTAGAAGTGACATCAACAATGTCTTCTCGCTCTCTCCCTCCCACTAAGGACAGGGTTCCAGAGAGGTTCAGCGAGGTTCAGTGAATACCGTTGTCTCCTTTGCCTTTCTTCTCCATTATTATCTTTTTCTCTCAGCTCTGTGAAATTTCCTTTTCACTCTCCAATGATCTGCTTTCCCCTTGAGGGTCACATCCCACCTCAAGTCCTTTCCAATAAGATGAATAGAAGTTTGCCTGGATGACTGGCATGTGTGGGAGGTGTGCTGGGGATCCGGAGGGACTCCGAGACCAACTTGGATTTGTGTTCTGGGCTGGCAAAAGAGCATCCGTCTTTGTTCTGGTGTCCAGCCCATCCAAATAAAGAAGGCATTTCCTCTCCTGAAGGGAGGGGGGGGTGGAGAAAAGGCCAAGAAAAAAAAAGAATTAAAAAAATTTTTTGACCATGTACTCCTCTGAAACTAGATACACACCCCTTTTTCTGTCCTGATTGGTCCACTTCAATTGACAAGTGGATGGTGAGGAAAGGAAATATCCTGGACTTAATTGTAACTTAAGTCTCTCTTAATCCAGAAGAGCATTTGAGATTCTGTCCAAGTGTTCAATTTCCCAGGCCGCTGAGGTCTGTGAATTTCTTTTCCCAGCCTCCAGGCTGCTGCAGTACAAGTCAGCATAGCTAATGCAGATAGAGCTCCTGCCTCTCGCCCTGCTCCTCCCTTTGCTTTGATTCGATATGAACAGCCTGGTAACTCCGATGCTGGGGAGAAATCTGACATAACTCTGCAGATGGCTAGGTTGCCGTGAAACACCTGGGGATTGTTCTTTAAGGAAAAGGTAACATCTATATATGCTAATGATTTCTTCCCCCCTTCCCTCCTTGTTGCATTTTTTTCCAGGGCTGCCAGTTCCCAAGAAGAGCCCAAAGTCGGTAAGGACTTCTCAGTTACTTGGTGCTTGTTTGGGGGGTGGGGGCTGGTGATGGGAAGGGACCCTGTCTGGTTTGACTTCACTAAATGTGTTTTAGAGCTAATGGGGGAGACAGTAGAGGGCAGGGTGGGTGGAGAGGCTCATTTCTTTAAGTTCTAGGGATCTATTTGGTATAGTAGGTATTTGGGCATGTCTTTAACTGGCTAGTGATTTGTGGGCAGGCTGCAAGAGCCAGAGTAAGAATGCATGTTTAGAATCTTTTCTATGTAAATGTATTATAACTCTCACTCAAATGGATGAGTATCTTAGATGCTTTAACTTGATACAAATGCTGTTGTTTCATTTGGGAAAGGGAGGCTCCACCTGCTCCCTGGGTAGCATTGCTCTCAACTGGTGTTTGTAGCCGTTCACATGGGTAGATGGCTCCCTGAGCTTTCTTACACACTAGATGATGAATTATTTACAAAATTAAAAAGCCTGTAGGTTTAAGGAAAAATTGCTCTGTGCTGTATATACGTCCATGCTCACATGGAACGATGTTCACTGCCCCAGCTTTGAGAATAAGACATTTCCTTTGCTGCCGAAATGTCCTTTGTTGTTTTGCTAGCTTTAGCAGCATTATGCTGCAGGTATAAGATTCTAAAAAAAAAAAAAAAATCAATGTTTTGCTGTCTTTTCTAATCTGGTTTCCCTGAAGATGCATTACCTAGTTGACATGTTAGCTAATAGCTTAGAGGCTATAGTGTTTTCCTTGGTGGTGTGAGCTTCTGCTCTCAGGGCAATGGCAACACGGTAAAATGCTGCTTAAAAACTCAAAATCTGGAACTCCAATGCCTATGAAATTGATCGGAGTGAAAGAAGCCTCCCAATCCATTAACATTAGGATAAAGAGGGGTGCTTCCATGTGGCTTAGAATATTTGGGGGAGGGAAATTTCACAGCTTTCTGCCAACCAGGAAAGGAAAACCTTTAAAACTTTGCAGCTCACAGCGCTGCAGCTCAGTTCTTTCTCCCTGTCTCCAAGGCTGGCAGCAGAGAGGCAGAAGTTTATTAAAGAGACGAGAGAGGGAGCTTCCTACATTCATAAGCCCCACTCCTAAGTTCTCCAAAGAGAGAAATCTGCAATAATTGATGTGATTCCAGTGGCATCGTGCTGTGGTGATTGGAATATGTGACTTCAGGGCTGCTTCCCTTGTCAGTTTGTGTTAATGTCCGGCTGAAGAGTGCTTGTCAGTGCCCACATTGGGACCACAGAGATGCAAAAGCCAGTGTCTGTGTGTGTGTCTGTGTGTGTACATGCACGCACATGTGTCCTCCCACTCCTGGGTCATAGTCAGAAACCTAGTCAGCGTTTAGAAAAATAGAAGCAAATGTGGAAAATGTGCCTGTCACACGAGCCTGAGTTAGCAGGAGCTTTTTCCTCCCCCACTGCCAAGCACACTACATGATGCACGGATTTACTTTGCACACCCCCGCATGGAATGGAATCTTGAAAAGAGCATACGGGGCCGGCGGATGGGGGGAGAGTAGTTCTGAACAGGCAGCAGGCCCCCAGGTAGCAAAGTATTCTTTTTTGGTTTGCATCCTGTTTACACTTACTGTACAAAAGGCTTCATGTAGACTCATTTGCATCCCTTCTTCCCCAAAGTGTTCTGGAATTCCCTGCTGAACTCAAAGGGTATCAAACAGGTATAGCGCCTGCATTCCACCAAGTCAGTTAAGAGAATTCCCTACGACAGTTTATTTTTGTAGAAGCCATGTCATTAGCAAGCAGTAAGCCAATTACTCGGGCTGCATTCCTAGGAAAAAAGCTCTCTTAACTGCTCTGCCCACAGTCTGCTGGCTCTTAATCACCGCAAGCAAAGAGACTGACTGGTGTGTTGCTGGGTTAGAAAAGAACAAGCCCCCAGCTTGGGGCTTGTCCTTACCTGATTTCTGTGCCAGGACAGGGATGATGGTTTTCACAGCATTGCTGGCACACTCTGGCAGCTGCTGAACAAAATATGGGGGGCTATCAGCCAAGGTCTGCTGCTGCCAGTAGAGCTCTGGTAGCATCTGTGATCCGTGGGAGCTCTGCACAGGTGGGTTGAAAGCTGTTTCCCTTTCCCTGTTTGAATTTTGATGATGTCCTGCCAGAGAGACAGATGATTATGGGATTTTTCTGGTGGGGTGGGAGGGAGTGCAAGGGGAAGCTGGATGTCATGGTTCCAGAAGGCCCGTCACAAAATGACAGGGTCAGTTATGCAGGCTATGTAATGAAATGCACACAGATTGTGCCTGAGTTGTGATGGGCTTAGATTTACCGTTAGCTCTGTGGCCATACTATCTTAAAACCCCAGACCATGCTTTTTTTGTTTTGTTTTGTTTTGGAGATTCCTGACATTGTTGGCTCACTCATGTGACTGACAGCTTCCTTTTGCCCTCGTACCCTTAGAAAAATGTTTTCAATAATTAAGTAGTTGGGTTTTTTATTAGAACAGAAGGGCTCATCTTTTTTATCTTGTTTCTCTTTCTGGATAGCCTCTACAGATCCTTCTTAATAAGCCACTTCACTGGCTAGATTTAGTTTAAATGTTGAATTTATGGTTTATATACTCATTGGGGACAATGGCAGTGTCTTGATAAAATTTTATGAATTTAGTACCTGGATGTTCAAACCATCAAGGATTTTTCTGCTGAATAGCAGAGACAAAAATAAGACATATTTGCTGTCAGATTTTAGATCTCACTGGGAAACTGATTCTGTGGCCCAATTTAATCATCCTGACTGGAAACTTATTTAACTGAGACTCTTGGTCTGCATCACACAGAAGGATTTTGTGTGTGACAATTTAAAACTTTGTTACACCAAACCCTTAATTTTAACTCATTATTCACCTGTGTTTTCTCCCTAGTTCATTTCCCAGCTGTTGCTTCCTTTTCTCCCTCCATCTGTCCATCTTTATCTATCCATTCATCCATCTATACACTTATATTTTATCTACTCATCCACCTATCCATTTATTTTGCACATTAGTATTGAGAACCTGTTAAGTGTCAGGTTTGGTATGAGGCACTGGAAATATAATAAAATGGTTCGTGGCACCTTTCTTCTTGGCACTTATAATTTATTGATTGTTCCTTTCTAAAAAAAGGATTCATTGTCACAAATCACCATGGTTTTTTGTGCATTTGTTTCATCCACAAGTATTTATTGTATATCTTTTATTTGCCAGATCCAGTGACAATGTACAACTAAACAGAAAACATTCCTGCCCTTATGCACCTGGGGAGAGACAAATAAAAACCGCAGAGACAGACAGACCTATACAGGCCCTCCTCATGGGGCCCAAAATCAGGTGAACATACACTTTCAAAAGCTAACAAAGCAGAAACATAATATAGAACCAGTACACACATAATGAAAAAACCCTTCAGCTCTTAATTACAATAAACCTAAATGAAGTCATCATACAAAGCCATGAAAGGACTCAACCTGAGTTAGCTGCTATGATTGAGTTGTAGAATTCTTCTGAGTTCCCAGGCCTGAACAATCTAGGAAACCATATTATTTGCTTAGCTGTTATTGTCAGATCAAAGAATGCATACTGTATTCACTAAGGACACAATGTTGCCAGTTACCAAAAGACTTCTCACACAAATTTTCTTAGAATGGTGAGCAAGGCAGTCTCTTCAACCAACTGTAGCCAACACAGCAAGCTGAAAGGGAGCACTAATGACAGAAATAATGTTCCATTGTCTTCTGTTCCTTTCCCCTGCAAGGGATGCTACAGATGTTTCTGACCACCAGTCCTTAAGAGATTTGAGGGAGAGATTTTAGATGAGGTGCACAGTGAATGAGCCTGGCCTGAACCATCCAGTTTTATGTATCCTGCCTCTTTCTCAAACTCTAAAGGTTGTTTTAGCACCCCAATGCCAATTGTCCAAAACCAGGTTATAAATACAACCCTTCAGCATTCCTAGGGCTGCATGGAGAAGCAGTGAGCGTATTAAATGGGAGAAGGATCACGGTGGCTCGAGTAAGTCTCCTTACCTCTCACTTCTCACAGCAACTTATAAATTCAACCCTTCTAAGGCTAGAGAATAGATTTTGCTGTTGAACTAAAAGTAATTTTCATATCCAATCGATACCTTCTTTTTCTTCTCCATTAACTCCTCTCACCTGCCTTTTTGGAAGAAATAGTTTGCCTTAGACCCATGAATGCTAAAAGAAAAAAGGAAGGACTATCCTCCGCCTTGGCTTGTATTTGAGTCTCTGATTTCTGCACAGCCTTTAATGACATTGGCCTAAGTATCTCATCAGTACTTGGAATTTTTCCTGTTGTCCATGTAAATCGCTGCAGTGGCCCTCCATCTTGGCAGATAAGTGAACTGCAAATAATTTTGCTTTAAAATGGATCGATTTGTCATTTTTAAGCCACATGAATTCTTTTCATCATTTAAGCTTCTAAGTGCTGTCTGTATTCATTTGCTCTTCTAAGCAAATATTTTCAGCTCCCTTTATAAGTATCTCCATTTGGAAATCATTCTGTGAAATACTGATGAGCTGATTTTTTTCCTGTTTCCATTGCATCTTCCCGATTTCCCTCCGCTGTCAGTAGTAAGGAAATCATTTGCTCTAGGGAGCCTGGTATAGTGCTATTTTTAAAAGGTCTTATGACACAAGTTCACAGCTAGTGTGTGGCCAAGGAGTTTTATGGAGTTTTCAAAATTGAGCCTATTTCCTTCTTCCTATTTGGCTCTGATTTCATATTCAGCAATAAGAATCTTGCCTCAGAAATATCAACATAGTGACAAAAATCAAGAGTTGGGTACTAGTAGCCATCTCAGTACATGGTACACCTTTCAAAGTAGTTGCTCCAGCTGGAGACTTGAGAATGGAAATACATGTTTCTAAGATCTCCTTCTCCTCCTCCGCAGTCTTTCAGCAGTGCCTGTTGAATTTGTCACCTCTATTCCCCTAGAATAAGTCACCTCAGCTTGGGACTGCCCAAGAGCCTCCTGATGGGCTCTCTGCTTTTCTTCCTGTCCCTGGCTCCTGACACATCCCTGCTTTAAATTAATTAATGGATTCCTCCTACCCTGAACTAAGAATGAAACCCAAACTCCTTCAAGCAGCTGAGAAGGCCTTTGTGTTGTTTAGTCACCAGATTTATCGCAGGCTGCCCTGCAGCCTTGCTGTGCCACTCTGGACTCCTCTGTTCTTCAGGCATTTCTGCTTTGAAGACCTAGCTTCTTCCATTAATGGAATGTTCTCCCAGAGACCTCTCCCTGCCACCTATCTAAAGTACATTGCAGCTTGTTGTTATCAATCCTCTATGATCATTTGATTTAATAGCTGTCTCCATACACACACACACACACCTAGATGCACAGATCTAAGTGCTAAGAGCTCAGGCACTATGTCTCTCTTTCTTACACATTGTGTCCTTCAGAATCTGGCTCACCATAGGTGATCAGTATGTATTTATTGTATCAGTGAATAAATTTATTGCAGGTAGGTACTTATGAGGACCTAGTCTGGATATCTTGGTATTGGTGTGCTAGCTTCTTGCTCCTTCTCTGTCCTTGGTATGCAGAAAATCATCTGAACAGACTTTTAAGTGTACCTTTAAGTACAGATTCTTTGAGCTACTTTCTCTCCTAGAAAAATGAGGTGAAAGGCAGTCACACTAGATGCACACTTGACACTGTGCTGTAACTGAACTAAGGTTCAGAAGGGAGTTTTCTCTTGCCCGAGGTCTTCTGGGAGGTAACTCGGACTGCTAAAGGATCATACAAGTTGCCTTTAATTTGAGAGATATATTAACATTGCTTTTACCCTGGACAATTCTGAGCTCTAACCAGATGACAACTTCATCACTAATTAGCATGCTCCCAGAAAGTAGAAAGGCATATTTTGGACTTTTCCACACACACACAGAGCATAGCTTCAAAAAGCATAGAGTGCCAAGCTATTAAATACAGAGTGTACCTTCAAATTAAGTAGTTTCTGTAATTGAACTTGAGAAGAAACACAAAGTGAGGTTAAATCTCATCAGGGGGAAATCCCAAGTGCTTCCAGATTTCCGTGTATTTAGCCCATTAGCATGGTTAGAATATGCCAGTCAGCAGTCGCTCCATGGTAGTACAGGTTTTAGAGCATATCCTCAGGATGCTGCTTTACTTCTGTTTTCCAAATTAAGGAACAAAATTTAGATGGTATTTAAAAGGCATGCAGACATGATTGAGAGGCAGCTTTGTAGACTCATTCCGGATTGTATCTGTCATTTCTTATTAAATTGAAGGTAAGTGAGTCATTTATCAGAAGGTGAGAAAGGGTGTTAAAACTTGAAAAGTGGCCCAGGCCATTCCTAGTAGACTTCATTTGCACACACTGGTTGTGGTGAAATCATCTCTTCAGTCAAACTCAAAATTTCAGGTTCTCCACAGCAGAGATTTGTTATATCGGGACAGCCATCGAATGGTCCTGAGAACCCATAAGGGGGCATGCGAAGCCTGTGTGTGTGTGTAAAAGCATCCTCTGCAGGGAGAAGGTCCAGCCCTTCTGTGAGACTCTCATAGTTAGACAGGGTTGCCAGAAAGATTAAAGGTTCAAGTTTAGACTCCCAGGGAGTACCGAGTAACCCAGGACAGGAAGAGGAGTGTCCTATTTCCCTCAGATAATCCTGCAGTGCAGTTCACCCTGGTGAGGCTTTGTGAAGGCTCCTCACCACGAAGGAGACTGGAACTTCAAGTCAGAGACTGACTTTAACTGTGAAATGAATTTAGTGTCAGTGGACTGACCCCACAATCTGGCGCTTGTTGCCCATTTGTGGAACCAAGGGAGTGTGCGCATTTGAAGGAAGGGATACAACTCTGAGGATAAACATGGATGGAGGTCCTTAGGCTACTGAATTATTTGTTTTTACATTTGAAGTATCTTCTTTCTCCCCTCCCAAAAGGAGAATGAAAATAAAACACTACCAAAATGTAAAAAGTAGAAACAGTCCCCATTTGTTCTCCTTACCAAGGTTAATTTTTTTTTTATAAGTAATGTTAAACTTTGTCTTGATTATTAAAAAAAAAATTCCCTGTACATGAAAAAATCAATGTAGGCAATGTGGAAAAGTATAAGAGGGGTAAGCACCCACCCCGATCCCAATCTTCTCTCTTCACGCTAGTGTGTGGACCCACAGGAAATCCATTGATGCTGTACATGCTTGTTTATAATCAAGACCCTTGTAAAGACTACAGTGGAAGAGAAAAACAAATTTCCATGCATATGTAAAAGAGAATGGAGATTGTTTCTGTCATCCACATTTTCTGACTCTGAAAATATATACAGCATGTTTCCAGGGGAAGCAGGAAGGCAGGTGTTCACCTTTTAGGGCAGAAATCAAATGGCCATGGAAGCCCAGTTCACTGTTGGGAAGGCCACTGTGGAAGTTGGCAGAACCAGGTTCTTTTCCAAGTCTTTGCAATGCCGATCCATCCAGGTCTGAGCTGAGCACTTGATCCTCAAAAGGGAGCAGTGTTGACATGGGGGAGTGGTGGTGTTTGTCTCTGCCCAAACATCAATGTGTCTTCTGGCATCTTTACCACAATATGTCGTTCCCTTGAGTCTGAGTGAATTAAGCCTCTCCTGCAGTCCTACCAAGACCTCTGTGCTACCTTACAACATGGTCCTCAGATTTCTCCCACAGGCATACCAAGTATAATTTTAAATTGGTCTTTCTTACCTTCATTAAATACATGCTTAATTTTCCTCAACTTTGAATCCTTGCCAATACCTATATTCAGATCTCTAATCTGTAATAATCAAAAGCAAATGAAGTTTTTGTTCTCCTTGGGCTTTTTTCAGATACTTATTTCAAAGCAGGGACTGGAAGGAGAGGGAGTAGAGGGACCTAAGATTTAAATGAAATGGACCTTGGAAATTTCCATCACAGTGGAAAATGAGAGAAGGTGCTTATGGGGGAGAGAGCAAGGAAGAACAGTTTGGGTAGGATTGATTTGTAAGACCGAGGGGAGGATTTTGATGCTGTAAAGAACTTGAGGGAACTCGAATGCTCTGGGTCAAAGATTTAAAAGTTACTTTAAAAACCATAAGCTATACAGGACCTGTAAGAGAGGACAGAGATACCCCTTGCTGTCCTCTGCCCCTTAATGAGGCTCTTAATTAGGTAAGTACAGGGATGTAGCATCTGTTATGTAGGAGGCAGAATTCTAGAATTTTTATTTTGAATGGGGGAAACTAAACACCTGGACTTACCACAGTCTTTAATTGGAGGAAACATGAACTGAAATTATTTTATTTCCCACCTGTGGTTTTTCCTCTCACTAGGTTTTGCTCTCTGTTCAGTTGCCACTCCGGCAAAGAACATTTCATAAAATGGGAAGGGTCTTTTCCTGAGCAGGTTTTAAGCAACAGGAACCTGCTTATTCTGTTGGAATTTAAATGAAACTCTCTCCCATTGAATACTACTTGGCCTTCAGACACCTTGCACATCTAACAAGGCTGACCCCCTGAGGTCAACTCATATATCTTGGTTTTCAGACATCAGTAGTGTCAGGAGAGCAGGAGGTGAAATGTGATGCCTGCAAAATTGATCAGCTAAGAATTATGAAAGTCCTTCATGTAATAAATATTTATATGCTTATAAATACACTGCAGGCATGCTTTTTTTTAAATCTGACCCCTATTCCTTACAGTCTAGAACTGATGGCAAACCCTTAGGAGTTGGATATTTTATCATTGAAAGATGCAACACCTAGAGTCCCAGGGAACATACTCAGCCCTGGCTGTGCTTCTTCTGGATACTATAGCCTCTTACATAATGCCCCATGGTATTTTTGTGTCACATATTTTGTCAAAAAATCAGGCTGTAAAACTGATACATCTTGTATCTCTCCCCTGAACATTAAACTCACATACCTGTTTGCTTACTGGACATGAGTGTCTAATTGGCAGCTCAAATGTGTAAGTCTAGAACTGGATTCCTGATTCTTGTAACTGCACAGGCCCAAATAATCAGCCCCTTTATCTCTCCCTTATTAATAAATGGCTACTTCAGTCTTCCATTTGGATCAGGTCCCAAACTTTGAAGTCATCCTTGATTCCTTTCTTCACACCTTCTGCAACCTATCAGCAAATCTTGTTGGCTGCACCATCACGATATATTCAAAATCTGTGCACTCTTCTCCACCTCTACCATATTACCCCAGTCCAAGCCACCATCATCTCTCACCTAGGTGATAGCAACATTCTCCAGAGGTCGCCCCAGTTCTATACCCTTGCCCCAGGACCTTTTATAACGACACCAATGAGAATCAAGGATGTTAAATTTGTATCTTGTAATATATGAGCCCGATGTCTTAGCTGAGAATCTAAGATGAAAATTGGATTTGTTTTCCGCTCCAGCCCAGGGAGCAGTATGGTTTGTGATTATGCCCTTCCCTCCTGCCCGCCCCTCTCTCTGTCTGCCAATCACCTGGGGATTTATCTGCATTCAGCATTAGCTGGAGAAAGGGAGAAGCTGAAATGTTGTAGATATATTTATGTATATGTACTCAGAGGTGCTGAACAAAGACAAGCTGATGGGAGACACCCACTCAAGAACCAATAATAATCATCTCTTCCTGCCCCTCTCACTTGCTTACTTTCAGCAACCACTGGAAAGAAAAGACAGCCAGAATAGTTCTCAGCACAGTGTTTCCAGCCACCGAAGCTTGCACACAGCATCCCCAAGCCACAGCACGCAGGCGCTTCCCGAGTACCCACCTGCAGAGGCCCCAGCTCCAGATCAAACCGACAGCTCTGGGCAAAGGAAACCAGATCCTTTTAAAATCTGGGCCCAGTCCAGGAGCATGTATGAAAACCGACGTGAGTAGCACCCTGGCTCCTGTCTTCCTGAGACCCTGACCCAGGGCTCCAACTTTCTCTCGAGGCTTATTAAAAATAGATCATCAGCGTGTACACTGGTTAGAGGTAAATCAAGAAGAGAGGCAAAAGCTTTTCAGAGCCACAGTAGAATCTGCTGGGTATTCACAGAGGCTCCATTATGTCTCCCAGTTTAGGGAAGGGGGGTATAGATAGGGATGGCTATCAAATAGAGGACCTAGATAAAAATGGATTTATTTGTCCTTCAGTTAAAAGAAGTGGCAGATAAGAGCGGCTGTCTCATTAATTCTTTTCCACATAGAGATGGTGGTGTGCTCTTGTAAAACAGCTCTGATATAAAATAGAACATAAATTTGATTGGTTTGTATTGCAGTAGTAATGAGAAGAAATTAAATGCTTTCTGTGGTCTCTTAGGTTTTAAGAAGACTAGTGTTTTTCTTTGTTTCATAGTTTTTTTATGTTTTTGATTTGTTTGTTTACCATTATCAGTCTTTCTAAACATTCCCCTTAAAACAAAAAAAAAGAGTGAGTGGTTTGTGCTTTAATTATTTATGCCATGGTTAAGTGTGTTTCTTTGGCTTCACCTTTTCAATAAGTATGAACAACTGATGGCATATGTTGGGATTTTTTGGCTCTTACAAACCTAATATCACTTCCGTGTTTAACTTCTTTTTATTTGAAATGCTTTCCAAAGACCATCCACGATAATAGTTATTTATCCTACAGTTACCCATGAAAGTCCCTAAAATGCTTTAATCTTAAGGGATGCCAACTGGCCTCTTTTTCTTTGGCTGTTGCTAATAGTGATATTTTCTCCTGAGTATGATTAGTCAGGATAAAGCAACTATGAAGGATATGCACTTTGTTTTCTCTTTCTGGCAGGGGCAGGGAGAGACTGTTTACTGAGGGAGGAGGCCAAGTTTGGTGTAGGGTGTGATTAAAACGGAAAGAGAACAGTTTCTTGCCTATCCTCATTCCCTAACCCCCCAGCAGCACGGGATTCCTCTCCAGCCACAGCTGTGGTTCTCGCTCAGGCAGAGTCCCCTAGGGGGTCCATGGCACAGAGGTGGCAGGAGGTGCTCCTGCCTCTCGCCGGCCCGCTAGGATGTGGCCCTGCAGCACGTCCTTTGCTGCCTGAAGCTCCTCCCCTGTGACCCCATCCAAACGGGAGTGAGGCCAGCATCGCTGTCTGAGAAGGAAGGCTGGCCACACTACTGGATGACCTTCAGCAGTTCCGGGACACAGGGCAAGTCTCGAGTCTTGCTGATTATCAAATTCTAGAAGGCACGAGGGATACCTTTGTCCTTTTCTTCCTCAAGGGAGAAATATCATCGCCTTCTTACTATAACTGTGTGGGGAATAAATAGGCTGCTTTGGCTAGAGGTTCACTGTGCTGACAAAGGCTGATTAATTTGAGAAGGGATTTCTTTAGTCCTTGGACTAAAAGGACCCCTTAGAGTACCCTGACACCAGGCCAAAGGGAACGAAGCCCCTTTAGGAACATCCCTCACAAGCATGAACCTGTGCTCTCTTCTCACTGCGCCTTCTCAGTAACTGTAGTGGTTTCAGGGAAGAAACATCTTCCAAAGAAAACTATTTTCAGATTCCTTTCACATTTTTTGCTAACCATGTGCCTCCTCCAATCAATGGCCCAACTTCAGTTGATGTTGAGATGAGATAATAGCGTTATTGACCGTGCCCCTGCTTTTCTCAATACAGTACACATTTATGACTGAGTTTCTTCCCATGTAGGAACCTTTTTGTGATAAAATAAATCACGTTCTGAAGTGCTGGTGAGTCCACCACAGATGGACAGATAACCTCTAACACATCGTTTAAAAGTTAACTCCAGCTCAGATGCCATTTTCACCTTGATAGAAGCAAACTTTCCTAAGAATTTGGTATTTCATTAAGTTTTTTAAAAACATTTGCACCAGAAAGACAAAAAAAAGAAAAAAAGTGTTCTTGCCATACAGCCAGCTGCTTATTTAATAAAGCACTGAAATTACTCAGCGGGCAGTGTGGAGTATTTGAAACAGTTGCCACCTTGGTGTCTCCACTTTAACATCTATGGAACAGGATCGAGCAGCACACATGCGAATCAATTTCTTTTTGGTGATTGGAGCTCCGTAGTTGAGTGACTGTAGCAACCTAATTGATGTTAAGATTTTCATGGTTTCTTTCTCTCTGCCAAATGCGGTAATGAGGAGGTTTCACCTCCCCATGGTAATTACTCAGTATCATTCACCGATTTTCCTCTTTTCACAGCACCTACAAAGGAACCTGCATCAATCTTACCTTTTAATCAGCATTTTGCTTCATCCCAGATCAGTTTTTGCCATTCCCATAGGTTGTTTTTTATCTTGTCTTTGTTGGGGGAGTGGGGGGGTGGAATGTAGCATGCAGCCTCCTTAGATGTGATTCCCTGCCCCTCCCGCTAAGACATACTAAAA